AGATATTAGATGTTGAGGGCATCCCACTCAAACCGTCAAAGGCATGTGGCACACGGTCATATGATGGTACACGACAAAGAAGGCTAAGTCGAATTCTTGGCAGAACGATAACATCTCACGACAACACATGCTGCAGCATTGTCTTCAAGCGTCCATGGGATGCGTGCGCCCGACCTCGTCTGGGAAAAGAGCCCGGTAATTGATTGTGAACGAAGATCGGTACCTGCATGGGAATAATGAAATCTGATCTCAAATCCAAGTGAACAAAAAACTGTCAAACGGCGCACTTCCGAGGTGCTGCATCAATGTGCATGACCTGCAAGATCAACATCTTTATTTATTTAGAGGCTCTTTCCGAGTCTGCTTCCGGTATTGCGCGCGTTGAAGTGACACCGAGATCCGGACTCGAGCAGTGGAATCCAGACTCTCTAGAAACAAAGCACATGAATTGAATCCAGCCTGTCCAGGCACCAGGTCTCTGCTCTCATGCTCGAAGAGCAGCTTAACTGTTGCACTGCACAAGGCCTCACTTTTCGTGTTCACCCGGCCGCTTTCGATGACCAATCGGCTATGTGCCGATGCCAGACCAACTACTGCAGCCTCTCATCGATAGTCTTCAGTGAATGCAATTTCCGCCGAGGCTGCAACCAATGCCTCTTCCTGCGAACTGAAGGTATCCCCAGCGTTGTTCCAAAGCTTTCGCAGCATGACTGCCAATGGCAACAATTGCCTGCGACCGGGATGAGGTCTTCTGAAACTTGGACAACCCCTCGCCGAGCTTGGCACCGGGCCTAACTTCACCATTGCATTGCAGACTAGTGCGTATGAGCCGAAGCACAAACATCATGTCGGTCACATGACTGCGTTTGGACGATTAATCCAACTTCCTGGCACACAAGCCAAGCCGCTCGGGTTCTCACGCCGTAAAGGTGTAGCATGCGAAATGCAGTGCCGCAAGCATGAACAGCTCATCATTAGCACCATATTGCAATCAAGTTTCATCGCCTGCCGCAAGGCTGTTTGGACAAGGCATGGATAAAACACGGGTGCCTTGCTGCCAATTCCAAAGGCCGGCATGTCCAGTTATGAATCAGACATAGTGGAACCGGCGAAATGGTGAACCAACATGCAGCAACATATAACGAACTTTGTGAACTATCGTCGCATTCACTGCAAGCTCCAAGTGCAGCGGGTTTTACAACATTTTGCCACAACACAACGAAACATGCCGTTCGCCGCGATTGTTGAATAACCGTATCATCACTGAACCGAAACAACAGAATTTGACTGGGTCGTTTGATTGGGAATGGGTTTTTCGCGTGTCAGAATGCAGTACTGCCAACCAACCAACCTCCAGAACACATCTCAATGGAATTGGTGCGACACAGACTCACGCGACAATCCGTTTTTGCAAACAACCAGAGAGCTTATATCCCGAATGTTGTAACTAACGAAGTAACACCCAAACATCATCTCGTCCGTCCATTCATCCAATCATCCTTTCATCCGATAATCCATTCATCATTCGTCCATCCATCCATCCATGCATGCATGAATGCATGCCTCTATGCATCCATCCATCCGCCCGCTCGCCCAGCCGTCCATTCGTCCCTCCGTCTGCCCGCCCATTCGTCCATCCATCCATCCACGCGTCTGTCCCTCCGTCCGTCCGGCCGTGCGTCCACCTGCCCGTCCGTCCATCTGTCCATCCATTCCACTCCGTTTCTTCCGTCTTCCGTTCCATCCATCCCATCCATGCATTCCATCCCACCATCCCATCCCATCCCATCCCATCCCGTCATATCCCACCATATCCCATCATATCGTACTATACCGCAACATATCGCATCATATTCCATCATCTCCTTTCCCATCATCTCCCATCAGATTCCATCAGACCCCATCATATCGCATCACATCCCATCATATCCCATCTCATCAGATCCCACCATATCCCGTCATATCCCATCATATCCATCATACTCCGTCACAACTTCATACCCGATCCCATCACATCCCATCCCATCATCCTATCATGTCTCATATCGCATCATATCCACGGTGGAAAAAGCAGAACCCGTGGAGGCACATCTGTACTGCATTCAGCAGCTACAGTGGTCAGTCTGTATCGTATCTCTGGTGAGCTCTTGGCGAAGTTGGTTCCGCCGCTTTTTAGCAAATGCAGCCAGCTTCAAGAAAGCAAGCAACCAGCAAGACTATCTTTTGGAGACAACTGGGCTTGGCACGAGATCTTGTTAATGCCTGTTCTTCTCGCTTGAAAGCTCACTGATCAACAGGGGCGGTATGATCTGTGAAGAAGCGACACAATGGAGCAAAGCTTCAGGTTGAAGGCTCTTGACGACAAGATTCTTTGGAATCGTTGTGCCGCAGCCGTAAGTCGTGGCAGTGCTAAACTGTTCATGGAGAACTGCTGCTGGACAAAGAGAGGAGGACCTCTTTCCATTGCTGAGGAATTGTCGTTAATAAAAATGTAGACATAATGAAACACTGAATTTGCCAACTGATAGACTTTGTAAAGCCCAAAGAATGAAAGAACATCATGTAACTGACTCTCATGAGAACGTGACGGAACATGTCGAATCGCTTCGTGCAAAGTGAACGATCCTGACCTCAAGAAGTCTCTATTCTCAATGAACTGCTCATATTCGAACGAGAAGAGTGGTCCTTTCAGAGGCTGTCGCAATCTTGGACGCAATGACGAGTATCTGAGCATCTTGTCGAGGAAACCAAGGGTTCTCAGTTCTCTGACTCAGAGCCTGCTTCAGACAAGTTCTTTGCTGTTGATGACATTGGGCAACCTCGACCCGCATTTGGTCTGTGAGAGCGAACTGAAACGCAGATACCAGATCGCTACAAGTTCTTCTTGCCGGGCGCGGCGTCGCGCGCGGTAAACTGAACCACTTTTGAACTTTTTGGCTGGCAAGAGCACCCAAAACCGCTCTGCCGCCTCCATGGGCGCACCTTTCTGAAGGCGTGGTGCCTGGAGCACGCATGCATTTGGCCATGGGCCAAAATCATCTGCTGGTTTGTTTTTTGGCGTGAGCGGGCCTCGTCGGCTACGGCTGTAGCACTCGGTCTCTACATACAAAACAAACCAACAAACAAAACCAAAAACAGCGGTGAAACAGACGGCTTCAGAAGTAAGGCAAAAGAGCTAGCTGCGGCGCACAGGCTTTGCGGTGTTGGCCGTTCAGCATGAGCTACGGAGCCTTAGCGACCGATCCACAACAGCAAAGGCCGTCGCCTAGAGCTGTCCAAGACCACCGGTGGAACCCGAAGTCGGAGTCCGGCCGCCATTCTAGTTCCGTGGAACAACGGTCAGCCCCGGGGTCCTGTTGTTTCTCGATCGTGCACACAAAATCCACAAGTCCACAGAGAAGTCCCATCCCTGCATGAAGTCCCAACCCGTCGTCACTGCTAGGAAAAGGAGCCAACGACGTATGTCGATGGTCAAGGGCTCTGGATGTTGGGGTGCTTCTCACACCGTCACTGTGTTGCAGCCGGCGGCCAATGTCAGTGCCGCTGGTCAGAAAATTCCCGCAGCAAGTACAGCAATTGGTAGCTGCGCTGTGCATACAGCTCCTGGAGACGATGAAAGCCATATTGTAACGTATCTTCAGCCTCATGGGGCATCAGCTCGGTAGAGTAAACTGAATGCCTGGGCCGAGGCCTCCCCGTTCGCTGAAGACTCGCGCCTCTTCTCTCCAGCGTTCTTGGCCAAGGTCGCCAAGCCGGAAACACAACCAGCGCACTAAGATCCCAACCTAAGGAGGTAGCTGCGCCGGAAGGCGCAACAGGGCCGCGTGTAGAAGACCAGCGGACTGGATGGGGAGGCGCTTGCAGACCCAGGGGAACAGCCTTTGCACACGCCCGGATTAGACATTTGGGGGTCGAAGTCGCCCCGCCTGGCACAAAGGAGCCTACGGTAAAATCCATGAGCCGTGCGGCAATCGGAAAACTTCGAAACCTTCACGACCAAGCTCTTGGGGTTCACAAACACCAAGCACTCACGAAGTTTGTTCCCAGTCACTCTAGCCGACCAAGCTGAACTTCACTCTCACAAAAGCGAGCAGAAAGCAAAGCGCTGCACACACTCGGACTTCTTTTCACTCCGCCTTGAGCCAAGACAGTTCGCGGTCAGTCACAACCTTTCTCTGTCAAGCTAGAAGCTTTCTCTACTGCTTGACCTGCACAAACACTAAGGCTGCGAAGCAAAGCTGAGCTCGAAACTCTAAGTGGCGAACTTCAAGGCTTCACTTGAGCAGTCAGGCACATCTTAAACGTACCACTGCACTTCAGAGCACTTCAGTCACTCATGAAATCATGAAAACAAATTCATGCGAAATCAAATCATGCAACATGCGCTTGAAACACTTTCTCCTGCTGCGATTGCTTCGGTGTCAACACTTGTGCAAAACAAACAAGCAAAAACTCAAGTTAGGCGGCAAGCAAGCGAACTCCATCCAACCATGCTCAACCACGGTGTCGAAATCCTTTACCCCCTCTTGGAGTTTGCTTGGTAGTAGTGGTCGAGGATGCCGTCAGGCGATTGATGCAATTGATGCACACACGATACGTCTTCAAACGGGCATTACGCCCCGGGCAGCTGGGAAAGAGGTGCAAGGTCTTGCCAGCTGAAGAGACGTAAAACTTGCGTCCAACGCTCAAAGTGGTAGAAGGCGGTGAGGTCGGTAGCTCAGTGGGAAGTTCTCCCTCTGACTCACTGTCTTCGACAACCACTGGCACCCTTGCTTTGGCTGTCCGTCTCGACCACGCACAAAGTGACCAACCAAGTCAGGTAGCTCGAAACCGCAGCGGAGGCTGCCATCACGGCAACAAGAAGCCAAAGGAGCTCGTCCATTGGAAAAGCGCAAAAGGTGAGAAAAACTCTGGCCAAAACCCTTCGAGAGGTAGTGGCTACGCGGCTGCGGCTGCAGTTGAAGTTGAAACAAAGAGCTGAGGTCCTGGCGGTTTTGGGCTCATTTCAAGGATCGCAACACAACGCGGCACATGTCCAACGGATAGTGCTGCGTCTGACGCAAGTCAAAAGACTCAGAATGCACATGATCCTGGGTACAACGGATAGTATCGAGGCGCAACGCAAGCGGCTTGTAGTCACAGTCAATCCTCCAACGCTTGTGGACAAGATGCCCGTCTGATCCAACCATGCCAACGGCACAACCGTCAACCAAGCTGCTGGACACCTCACGCTGGCGGCTGTCGAGGGTCTTCTTCACGTCCTTCCAGTTCCAGTACTGGCAGGTCTTAGGCCACTCAACTGCAAAGTAGGGCTGCAACTCAAGCGCAACAGACTCAACCGGAGCGATAGGATGTTCAAGTTCTTCCAGAGCTTCCTCTGGATTCCCCAAAGCTTTCGGATTCTTGCCTCGTGTCCTTGGCGTCCCTTGTGGAGGTTCTGGTAAAGGCAACCCCCGGTGCAGGGAGTTGAACTCCACACAAGCACGCGCACACCATGATCAACCATGCGCACAATGAAGCACCTCAGCACGGCGATGGTCTCATCGCTCAGTCCGTTCTCGTCCTCGGTGACAGAGACAACCCTCAAGTTCTTGAAGGCCTCGGCAGCAACCTTCATGCCGGAATTCACCGCGGTACAGAACTCAACCACAACCCAACGGTTCTTCTCAACACTCACCTCGTCAAGCTCGCGACAGAATCGCTCAAGCACGGACTCAGCCAAAACTCTTCCAAGAATGCTGCACAAGACAAACCGATCAAAATCAAGGTCCTCCAACAACAGAGACTGCCGCGGGGCATGCTCAACAATCCCCAGTCTCTCGTAGTGGATCTGAGGCTTCGACAAAGCCTTCGTGAAGACATCAGCTGGGTTCTGGGCTCCCGGAACCCAGGACAACGTAATCAACTCATCCTGAATCGCAGCCTGCGTCCAACACACCCGAAGATCAATGTGTCTGACTCGACGAAGCAAACCATGCATGGATCCAATGTTGATGGCGGCTTGCGAGTCTGAATAGATCGCGGGTGGCTCCTGACAGGTGCGAAACACTCCCCAGATGTGCTGAATCAAAGCAACAACTCCTACAGCCTCCTTGGCTCCCTCGGTGATTGCAACCAACTCGGCTTCTGCGCTCGACATTGCCACGCTGGTCTGTGTCCGGGTAAATGCTTTGATGGGGAAGCCATCGACGAGGATAACACATCCCGACAGGGACCTCCGATCGTTATTCCGTTCGGGGGCCCAGTTCGAATCGACGTAAGCTTCGACCCTTCCAGAGCACTCCTCGGCACTCATGAGTTGTTTGAGGTGATCCACCGAGATCAGATACCGAAGGAAAGCCCGAAGGCAGGTTTCATGTACAACCAAAGGAGTTGATTGCCCTCGACTCAGAACACTGATGAAGTAGGTCAAATCTATTCTCGTTTGTCCCGCCCAACTGATCTTGCCCACTGCTGAGCGGTATTTCGTCGCCGCTTCCGTGGACAACGGTTTCTGGAGATCGGGGTTCTCCAGGGAATTATCCAATATTTTTCGAAGATCTGGTGGCGTCGGGCTCCCCCGTTTAATGCCGTAGGACTCATACACCGAAGTGAAGTATCCCTCTGGAAGCCCCAACATGAGCCCCCATTCAATCTTCTGGATCACTCTCCCCAAGAAGTCGATCTTCTTGTCGCGAGACAGGATCCCAGTGACATTGATCTTCACCGAACGCCCCAGGCGCTCGATCAAATTCAGCGCTGTGTCACGACTTTTGCAAGCAATCATCAAATCATCCACGTAGGCAAGCAGAAGCATCCAAAACTTCTTTCCTTTAAACTCGTACTCTCCTGAGAAGACGCTCTTTTCAGTATCGGAAGCATGGAGGCCCATTTCCTTCACAAGATCACTCAAATGCTTATACCATGCCAAAGACGCCGACCGAAGACCGTAGAGCGCTTTACGCAACTTCATGAAAACACGTGAGTTGTCAGCGAAACGGACGTTCGGAGGCAGCATGACACACTCAGGGGAGACGATCAATGCAAAAAGGAATGCTGTACTGACGTCTGCAAGGACGATGTCTGAGTCGGTGGCCGAAACAAACACCAAGAACGACCTGAAGGCTTCGTTCGACGATGTCGGGCTGCTGATTCCCAATTCTGCTGCGGTGGGCCCGCCACTCGCGTAGTCTCTGGCAACAACCCTCGCCCGAACAATGTCCACCTTTGTCTCTCCGTCCTTTTTCCCAACAGAAACCCACCTGGTTGAAAGGATTCTGATGCTGTGTTCTTTGCAGTAGGAATCGGCTTCGGACTTTGAGATCACATCCCCGACCTTAAGCGTATCGAGGGCACGAATTTCCTTTCGCATCCCTTCAGCTGCCTTTCCCGGTTCGAGGGGTTTGTCGGTGGCGTCGTCGCGTACAAAACTCGGCCTCTGCAAGTACACGAGCCTATCTCCCATTCTAAGTTCCGACCAACCGTCATCCTCAATGCTCGAAAACACGCTCACTCTGCACTGCACTCCAACGGCAAAGTCCTCAGCAACCTCAAGTGGAATACAATCCAAGGCATCATAGGACGGCACCGACCAACAAGCATCCACATCCATTGGCACATCACCGAGGTCTGACACATCACCAATGCCCCCGGCTCCGTGTGGGTCGTTGCCTCGGCCCTCTGCCTGGTCCTCGCTCTCCTCGGGTCCTTGTGCCTCGGTTTCTGGCAAGTACTCTTCAACTGTGGGCAACCAAGGTTCAGCAACGGTCACCTCATCATAATCATCGGGAAGTTCGACCTCGACCACGGGATCATCATCATCAACTCCAACGGGATCCGGAACGATATCCTCAACAGACTCTCCTCCTTGTCTCGCCAGAGGCTCTGGGCTTCCTTCCTTCATCTCCTCAACCCATGCACGATAGCGCTTCCTGCAAGTCACAGAATGCTTCACGCCATGAAACAACCCACGCTCACAAGCTCGGCAACGACGCGTGCGACCATGCTCAAGCAACCACTCTTTGGGGGGATTGCCATCCTCAGTCAAGCTCAACGGCAACACGGTCAACTCATCATCAACATGCTCAAGATCTGGCAGCTTAGGCAACCGATGCACCATGCTACCAACTCTCTTCGCAAGCATGCCAAGCAACTCAAGATCGTACCTCGTTGGCAACAGGGCTTTCACAGCTGGCGTCTGCACCACCTCGACGGTTCCAGGCTTAACTTGCATGGTGGCCCAATGGGAGGCCTTTCCTAAGACAGGCCCCAGGTAGGCTCCATAGGTGTATCGCCCCGGCAGAGAAGCGGCTTTGCTAGGTGGGCCCGAGAGTAGAATGGTACTACCGAACACATAGGCCTGGTGAGGCTTGTGCTGGTTCCCTCTCAGCCTTTGTAGAGGGGTCAAGGCTGATCCAGACAACAAGTTGTACCTGTTGTGGCAATGGCAACCATGCTGAAACGCAAAGTTGAAGGCTTTCCGATTGTTCCTCAAACCCACACCTTTGTCCTGCATCTGAGTCAAAACACCACTGACAGTCTCTCGCAACGCCCTCACAGCACGCTCTGCAACTGGCGCATGACGACCTGCAGCAAACTGCTCAATGGTTCCTTGGTACACAGGAGAATTCTCCAACATGGTTTGCCACAAAACTCTCATATACCCTTCAGCATCGCAGGTGAACAAGCAACTTTTATTGGCAAGCCCAAAATGCATCATCCACTGTGACATGCCTGCAACAATCAACTCTCTGGTCAGATCACCGCTCACACGGCCAATGGCAAAAGACCTAGAGTGAACCATAATGAGAAAACGCAAAGAGCCATGCCAAAACCGGTCGAGTTGAACCTCGTGCTCGTGCACCTGGCTCCTCCGTAAGGCTGGCTTCAACCCTCGCGCTCTCAAGCAAACTTCACAGGAACTGCTAAAGGGCAAATGCGACCGCAGCTCATGCTCGAACATGCTGAAGTTACCTAGCGCTTCCTTGTCGGTGGCAACCCACCAGCAATCGCTCGGCTCACTTTTTGCATCATCCAAAACGTCCCGGGAACCTACACTCAACGGTGACGGCTTCTCCCCAACGGCGACCTCGATCTCCGCTTCGGAACCCGCGGCGGGGTCGGCAGCCTCGGGCCTGGGCGGCTGCTCTGACTCATCTCCGCCTGACAAGGCACCTCCGGCGGCACATTCAAGTTCACGAGGCGCTCGCGGAGGATCACCCTTGACCATGAAGGCCCCAACCCTCGGTCTCCTTCATCTCGGCTGGCTCCCTTGAGCTCGTGGCTCCCGTCTGGGACACCTCCTGGCCCGCTCCCGTCACTGACCTTGTCGGATACGGCAGCACGGCTGGCTTCGGACGCGGCTTGCTCTTGGGGACTCGGACCTCTGGTGGCTTTTCCGTAGTGAGGGACTCGGTGGGCCCTTCGATCTCCTCGGCCACATCGGCCGTCTCCTTCGCTATCTAGGGGGTCTCGGTCTCCGGCTGCGGCGTCTCCTTCTGATCCGTCGGCTGTGGCGTCTCCCTGTGGCTCTCGGACGGCTTCTGTGGAGAATCTGAGTCGCTGCTCGTCGACCGTGAGGTCACAACGCTCCAGGTCCTGTTCACGATCTCCGTCAGCTGCCCGGCGAAACTGCTCAGCAGAGTCTGTGCTGGGCCCTGCGGGGTCACGCCCGCCTGGCTCTGTGCCAGGACCTGCGGGGTCACGCCCGCCTGGCTCTCCACTGGCTCCTCCGGGTCCGGGGTCGCCTCCAGCTCGTCGTTGGAAGCTCCTCCCCAGTCCACGTCCATGTCGAGGCTCACAGGGCACCGAGTAGCACCAACCGACGTTACCGTAGATGCAAGTCCCTAGCACAACATGCTTCCCGTCACTAGTATCTAGATTCACGTTGACACCGTCAGCATTTATAGCAACTTGCCACCCACGTTGGGCCATTTGGCCTGTGGACAAGATGGCATGCGAGCAATCAGCAGCAACAAGAGCGGAGAGGCGTGCACTCACTAGGCTTCCCTCGACTGTCACGAAGAAAACCTTTAAATCAACTTTCCTACGCAAAGTGATCGGCTCACCTGACGCAAGACTGCACTGAACACTCACAGCGTGCTCCTCCAGGATCTGCACATGGCCGCTGGACAACATGCCCTCACCAACCAAGTGACTTGAGGCCCCAGAGTCTATCAACCAAGCCTGCTGGTCCTCAAAGGAAAACGTGGAGGCCCCAATCATGCTAACCTGGTCGACAACATGCTGTGGAAACAACTGTCCATGCTCAAACGCGCCCTCGTCACCGACATGCTGGTTCTCAAAGTGAACATGCCGACGCAAAGCTGCCAACCGACCAACTTCATGCTGTTGTTGTGGTTCAAGAAAACGATCATGCAAATGTTGTTGCTGGCGAAAAACTCCGTGATCATGCCGTGGTTCAAGAAAACAATCGTGCCCATGATGCTGTTGTAGAAAAACTCCCTGATCGTGCCGTGGTTCAAGAAAACAATCGTGCCCATGATGCTGCTGAAGAAAAACTCCTTGATCGTGCCGTGGTTCCCGACCATGCTCTTCAACACGTCCTCCAAGGCAAAGGGATCGACGATCATGTTCAAAATTCTGGGTTCGACCAAGCACAAGCTTCGGCACACTCTG